CCTGCTGGACTCCAGCGATCCTTCCGCCTCAGCCTTCCAAGTAACTGGAACTACAGGCGCACGCTACCATGCCCGGCCAATTTTTTTAATCTGTTGTAGAGACAAGGTCTCAACAAGCTGCCCGGGCTGGTCTCGAACCCACGGGCTCAAGCAATCCACTCGCCTCAGCCTCCCAAAGTGCTGGGATTACAGACTGAGCCACCGAGCCCAGTGGAGGAAGTGATTTTTGAATGGATGATTTGTTCAGCAGGTGAGGGGATAATAGATTGCAGGGAGGGGGAACAGCTTATGGAAAGGCACAGAGATAGGAAGTGGGAAGCTTAATCCTTGGTATGGCTGATGGGCAGGGTCTGTATTCATTCAAAACATTCAACAAGTTCTAGTCAACGTGTTTCAGTCAATGATGGACTGTGTATACGATGGTAGTCCCATAAGATTATAATACTATATTTTTATCGTACCTTTTCTGTTTAGGCACAGAAATACCGTTGTGTTACAGTTGCCTATAGTATTAGTACAGTAACATGTTGTACAGGTTTGTAACCTAGAAGCAATGGGCTATAGTGTATAGCCTAGGTGTGTTGTTATATACACCATTTAGGTTTGTGTAAGAACACGGTGGTGTTGGCACAATGTGAAATAGCCTCATGGCACATTTCTCAGAACATATCTCATGTTTAGGCGATGCATAACTGTTTTTGAATGTACACTAGATGCTAGGCTTGAGCAGTCAGAAATCACTAAGTAAGTAGTGGTGCAGATTTAGGAAGGATGCCACGTGTTACATTTGAGGGAACAGGCAGAGGGAAAAGGTGGAAAGCAGCACAGGAAAGAGTTCAGGGAGGAAAAGATAGCAGTAGCTAATAACACATCACACGAGACCTACCACATGCCAGACCCTATTTAGAGGGTTTGACATGTATTATCACATTTAAATGCAAAACATCATATTTAGTCTCCTCCTGAGCAAAAGAATAAACTTAAGCACAGGCAGGGTAAGTAACATTGCTATGGTCTCCCTCTCAATTTGAGTAGATAACCAGCCCCGGCTATCTGATTCTGGCGCCCTGACTCTTAACCACTACACACACTGACTGCCCAGTGGTAGACAGAACTGTTGGTTTTAGGTGATGACTGAAATCACAGGCCTGATAGGCACTTTTCAGGCAGAGAAGCCATTCTGGGAACGAACCCTGGGAATAATAATGCACATAGATAAGTTTGTGAAAACACACCAATAGTTCTATTTCTAGATTTCTATTATTTATTTATTTATTTTTTGAGCTGGAGTCTCACTGTCACCCGGGCTGGAGTGCAGTGGCACTCTCATGGCCACCGCAGCCTCGACCTGCTTGGCTCAGGTGACCCTTCGCCTCAACCTTCCAAGCAGCTGGAACGACAGGCACGCGCCACCACGCCCAGCTGGTTTCTTTTGATTGATTGTAGAGACGAGGGCTCGTCAAGTTGCCCAGGCCGGTCTCGAACCCGTGGGCTCAGGCAATCCGCTCACCTCGGCCTCCCAAAGCGCTGGGATTATGGGCGTGAGCCCCCCCGCCCGGCCTAGGTTTCTGTCACCAGACTGTTTGGGGGGCCGTTTACTAAACGAAGTATTGCGTTTCACTGGGCTTAACGCGGCTGAAGTTGTCTAAGGGTGAGGCATCCACATCAAGATCAGGACGAACCAAGAAGCAGTTTTAGTTTTCTGGCATTCTTGCCTCAAAAATCGAGCGAGCAGGGCATCGTTGTAAGAAGGCCCCCATTTTGGGCTCCAAGGATTTCTTTTTCACGTAGCCGAACCACAGTTTTCCTTGGTCAGGGAGGACGTCTGGCCACGCCGACCATCTCGGAGAGCAGGTGATTACGGATCATGAGCGCTTTCGGGGCGAGACAGCGAGCCGCCCTCCTCCTCCCCCCCCAGCCTGGAAAGGTGCAGGATCCGCTGAACCGTGCGTGGCACAGCGGCGGCCGGAGCAGACGCGGGATGGTCGCGCGTCCCCAGCGCGGCAGAGGGGGGCAGCCAGGGAGCCCCGGGAAGGTGCGAGCGGGGAATCGGGGCCCGGGCCGCCGTCCAGAAAGGCGGAGGGTCAGCTGGGCGGGGGAGGAAGCTGCCCGGGGCAGGTGT